GCGAAAAGCATCAAAAGCAAAAACAAAACGTCCACAACAACGTGATGTGCCAGCAATTGATGCTGTCATCAAACACCATCCAAAGCAATTCAACTATCACCTCAAGTACCACAGGCGGTGAGTTATAAATGAAATCGTGTTTTTTTTTCGATCGATTTTAGTCTAATCGAAATTTCGAAATTAATAAATTTTGTTAAATATTTTGCCCTCATTTACCATCCTCGACAATTTGTTCGATGACAAAACCGCGATCGTTCATCGTTTTAACAAACAATTTATCGCGCTCTTCCCATTTTTCTGGTGTTAGATCGTACTTTTGGCCATGATGCTCGTCACCACTGTTGTATCCCGAATAACTATTTTGATCGTCTTCAACGTCCATTTCCTGGCTACTATCACCCATCCCATACGAATTGTCGGCGAAACTTTTTAGAATGCGCTCTTGCTTGTTGAGCTTTTTGGCTTTGATTTTTTCAATTGTCGTCGCAACCCAGTCCGTAATGCTAAAATCACCGCTGCCGCTGTTAAAATAATCATCATAATCTTCATCATCTATATCTACTGCTTCACTGCTATCCGTATCGCTAATATCGACAAAGCCGACAATTGTTTGTGGTACCTTCTTTTGTTTTGCATTGTCAGCGGTTGCCGAGTTGGATTTCAATTCGGACATCGAATCATCGGGTAATTTTTCGATACTTGTCTCAATTTCCGTGATGGTGCTGCTCGGTGTATTTGCTTCCTCTTCATCATCACCATCAATGTAAATGGCTTCATCATTTTCGCCCACTTCGATGCCATCACCATCAATGCCCAGCTTCGATCGTTGCTGATTCAAATATTCTTCCTTCTTTAAATCGGCAATCACACGATCGGTTATCGATGGTGTCACACTTTTGTATACCGTTGAATTGATTGTTCTCGATTTGCCATTGGCCGACGATGATGACGACGACGATGAGGCTGTGGCCGATGATGATGATGATGCTGATGATTTATCCATCACATCCACACCACCGCTCAATCCATTATATGCCTTGTACAAGATTTTTGTATTCGAAAAACTGTTGCGAGCCGCATTCGATTTATCGCGATCATTTTTCATTGATGCATAAATTCCGTTTTGTGATTTACTCGGATTTACATATCCATTGCTGGCGCTCTTGTTGAATCGTAACGCAGCACCGAACACGGTGTCCGTTTCACCGTCAAGCATCAGTGACAGCGGTTCGGATGTGGACGAAACGGCTGAATTTCGTGTTGATGATGACGATTCGCGTGGACTATTTTCTACATATGCACTAAATGCCAATGACGATATCACTTGGATTGCACCCCCGATCAACACAACGAGGATTAGTATAAAAAAAATGCACGTCGTCAATAGATGTGCGGACAATTTTCGGCCAATCAAACCAAACATTTGGTTGAACATGTTTGCTGCTATGCAATTTTGAGACAATTTCTCTTTCGTCCGAATGTATTTCTTGATGGCTTTTTCCTTCAGCCAAACGCACTTGTGTCGTCAATCAACACAATTGTTTGTCTGCCTATGACACGTTCTATCACTGTGTGTTCTGTTGATTTTTCTTCGTATTACTTTTTTTTTAACTTTTCGCTCTATGCGCGCTTACGTAGATGGTTTCTGTATGTAAAATCAGTCGTTTTTTGGATATGCTCCGATAATAAATTAATTTAGTTTCTCTCTTTTTGTCCGCAAAGACTAAAACTTTATTCACTCATTTGCATTCGACGCATTGGAAGAAAACCAAATGTTTTCCCGTTCGTTTTACGTTTATGAATTAATGTCAAAAATGAAAATCAATGCATTTAATGATTTGCATAAAATTTCGATCTTAGTTTTCTCTTCATGCTCTCCTTCCTGTCACATTTCCTGTGCAGCCTTAATTCGGCTGCTTAAAATTGCTTTTTTCTCACTCTTTCTCTCTCAATCTCTGTGTTTCAATTTATTGGTTCTTTTTCGACGTCAACGCACTTTAAATTCCAATTGTTTCTTATGCTTTTGTGCAAAAAGTGCTCGCTGCATTTGTGGTTGTTGTTGTCGATATTCAAAAGAAAATCATCGGCTGAACGAGAATTCTTTTGTGCGTTGAAACAATTATTTTGCGCAACACATTCAACTTGACAGCGAACGACTTGGGTACACAGAGGGGAAAAAACTTGATGAACAACACGAACGAAAAGAAAAAAGAGTTTGGAATGAAAATCACAATATACACTCAATTCGTTCGAAGAAAAAATAAAACACAAATCACTTATTTTATCATGTTTACAATACCATCAACGTTTGATATTTTGATATGTTGAGTTTCCTCATTCGATTCAGTGGCAACAATAATGAAAAAGAGTGGAAATTTTTGTTTTTAATATTGGCCACGATAAAAAATGAATCCCACAGTGAGATTTCGACAAGAGGCCCCCGTTTCGTTTGTGGGAGAGTAGCTTAGCACACACCGTTGTCGTCGTCACACACAGAATTTTCCTGCTTCGAAAATTTTCCAAACCAAGCCAAAAACTGATGTTTATGCTTCAACGCTGTTGTCGTTGTTGTTGTTGTTCGTGTAATACCTATACAGCTTTAGCCCAAAACCGATATGCAATTCGTTTGGGGAGCATTTAAAGCACGGAAAATCCACACCAACACCACGACAACATCGACCAACAAACACAACCAGCGAATGTGTGTACACATGGGTTTTATCAGCACTTCGAAAGGGTCCGGATGTGTGTATGTGTGTATGTGTATCACATTATATTGGAGGACATGGATAGCTGTTTGGCATGCGCATAACTAATGCATACACGGATATTTTGACTTTTCACATTTCGACGAGACTGAGAAACATTCCTGCTGCCGCTGCTGCTGCTGCTGCTGCTGCTGCTGCTCCATGTTTCAAATCTACATATATTTGTGTGTATATTTCATTCCGTTTCTTATTTATGTGTAGCACCAGGGGTGGTGGTGGGCATAGATTGTCTTGTTTTGTGCGTGCTTAAACACAGATAAGGAATGCGATTACAAGCGTGGAATGAGAAAAGAAGGAATACAAAAAAACATCAAAAAGATTTATAAACGGGTGTATTTTATTAGCCCATTTGTTGCAAGCGGATGATTTTCGTTTTTGCCCATGATGTTTACATGTTTCCTTGCTTGTTTGGTTGGTTGGATGGTCGCTTGCTTACTTCGTCGGCCGTTTCGGTGATGGTCATACTGAAGAAACGACATTTAAGAGAAAATACTTACACTTCCGCCTCAGATTGCATATCCAAGCCATCCCCGATAAAACGAATGTCTTTTTTCCTGCTTCTTATCGCCCGCCACTAAATCCAAATGTACAAATGATAGCTAATGCGTTTGCTGGTGGTTTTTTTTCTGTTGTTTTCATTACCAACGAAAATGCACAATTTATTTTCCGTTAAGATTAGTTTCCATCCTGATGATTAAACACATTTTTATTGTGGCTTCAAATTTAATTTTTAAACCCAACCTAAATGAAAATGAGAAGTGAAACAAAAACGACCGAAAACAAAAATGATTCACGAACACATCTAGTTTGCCGATGCATACTGATCAAATATCATAGCTTTTTAATTTGTTCTGTTTTTTTTTTGTTTTAAATTCATCGATTTGTGGATCGAAATGTGGAAATATTCAGATTTGGATTTTCGCTTTTTTTTCGTTACGTGAAACATAAAAAATAAGCGATATTTTCCAAACTTTGTGAACGAAATTAAAAAAAAAAATTATACGAAAAGATATTGTGTGGATAAATTTCTGGCATCGCGCTTTAAACTTTCGTTTGATTTACAAAATAAATTTCTTTTGCTTCGTCAGAATTTTTATGTTTCTCTGTACATTCTTACTTCCCGATAAAATAGCTAATGTTTGCTTGTTCATTTTTTCGTATTTTTGTTTCTTTTTATTTCAGCGTTTTTTTGTGTGGAAGAAGTTGATTTTTTTCTCTCTCTCTCTATCTTATTTTTAAACTTTATCTCTCATTCTCGGTGTGTTTCATTTTCTCTCTCTTCAATAGAGTTACCATTAATATTTAGACTAATATTTATATTATTCATTTATTTCATGTTAGTGAGGCAGCTGTTTGAAGTTGGTGCTGTCCTTTTTTGATGTGTTTTGTGTAGGGCGAATGCTATGCGATGACAAATTTCCCTTAGGTTTGGTGAATTGAAGGATTTGATTTAAATTGCCTTCGATTGCATAAACTCAAGCCGGGACATTTGTAGTGCCTTATGTATCATCTCTTCCTCGCTCAGTTGTGAAGTTGCTATGGGAGGGAGAGAAAAAAAATGAACATGGTCATTTTGATTTTAAGGCACAATTTTTTTTTCGGTTCGGGATATATACTGTTCAAGTCATCTTGGTACGATGATTCGAGTAATGATTGATAAAATTCCGACATGGGTGTATCACTTGATTTGTACGACGAAGGACCGGGCAAATCTTGGCTCGACAACTTTCGCTTTTTACTCGGGCTCGATGTGTCCGCACCACTGGCATTCATCACATAGCTGCTGTTTGAATTCATTTCGTAGCTGGTGTCCACATCGTTCAACGGTGCAAGTCCAGCACTGCACACA